ATTTTTTTTTTTTTTTTTTTTTTTTGGTGGGTGGTGGAATTCCTGAAGATTTCCCCACAATGGTTTGTTCAATCTGTCTTTCATTTTTAAAAGACCTTGTGACTAGTGATAAAAATACTCGAGTAATTTTCATTTTCTCTGTCGAGAATCAAGATTTCTGGAAAGTAGAGGATGGCTAGGAAAATAGGGGAACTGAGATTGGTGACTATAGTGAGGATAACTGCTTTCTGAATTAACAGTTTTCATTTTGACAGAAGTTTATTTTATCTGGTCATGATCATGATCAGTGCACCATCACGCATCAATCTAAATATGGGCCTGTAATCGAGGTAAAAACTTGATCTCCACACTGAACAGTCTACTGAGTGTTTGGGCAATTAAACTGACAGTAGTGTGTGCAGCACACTCTAGGTACTATAAGTTGGCAACAAGGAAACTTGTATCCTTCTTTCATGCTGTTATCAGTTGATTACTCAACTCATCCAAATGCTTCCATTCCAGAAGAAAAGGCTTTGTTGACTCATCTATGCTACCTTCCAATGCAAACACACATTTACATATGGTACCTAAATGCTTATTATAATGATATGAATAAAATGTTCACCTAATCTGTTGATTCAACCTTTTCTTAATGAGTTCTAACGATCTGTAATTGTCAGGTATATTGTGCTATTTATTATGACCCTTCTTGCTGCCCTATTTTGGCCAACAAGTAGCACCAGTTTCTGGCATCAGTGTTGTGGCGTAGTTGGCTGTTGTAAACAACTAATAGCTAGCATCTTTTCTAGAAGTGAAACAAAAGACAAGGATGAGGATGCTAACTATGATTATGAGATGATGTGGGATGCAGAAGGAACAATGCATCTTGTAAAGAAACCCTTGAATGTATCTACTGTAAAATCAAATGACCGAAGCTCCGGAGAAAGGTAAACTTTGGTTTTCATATTCTCTGCTATTACTCTGTATATGGAAAATATGTGCGGAAATTCAATCCTATAAAAGAATTATATTGCCTTCAGTCCTTTATATAAAAAACAAATTACTGATTCATTAAACCGTATGAAAACATATAAATTAGTTAATTTTAATTAATAATATAGTAAATTTAAATTTTACTTCAAAAATATTCATAAAATTAAATAGTTTGAGTGGTTGTTATATTTAATGTCATTGTTCACAATTCAAGAGATAATTTTTTTCTCCAACAAGTGACTTATATTGTTAATAGAGGTCAATGAATGCATCCACCTGCATGAAGAATGAGTGAGTGTTTCAATAATAGACTTCACAATAAATTAAGAATATGAAAAGAAATTAACAATCAATACATGAGTATTGTATGTTTCTTATAATTAGGATTAAAGAATGTATTCATTTGTTTCATATATAATGGACCAAAGGGAGTATTTGATTTATTGTGCGCAAACTCTTGCACATTGAGGACAAAACTTTAGCATCTTCCTGTTGTTTTTCTATCTGCTGTCAGGGGTAATGTTGTGATGCGGGCAGCAGCTAGAAAAAATACTGCTCAGGAAGGAGATCACTCTGTGAATGTGGATATGGATTCAGCAGCAAGAATCCCTCCCAGAACTGGCAAATCAAAGACAAAAATTATAATCCAGAGATTGATACGCACACTGCGAATGCTCACTGTCATTGCAGCAGTGAATGTCCCTCTTTACATGATGTTGCTGTTCAAGGATTGGATTGACAAATAAAGATGAAATTCCTATCTATCAGAGTGGTATCATTCAGGTTTTACATTCACTTTTTTTTTTTTAAATGATAATTTGTAGATCCAATTAGATGTTCAAGAAGATACTTGCTATCAACATGATCTAATTAATCATATGTTGACGATGCTTCTTATGTTTACTTGGCAGCTTGAAATCCATCTTTAATTATGCATGACATGGTCATGATCATACGGAACATCAAGTATAACAGATGTGTTTGAGTTATTGTTTCTATTGCTGTTGAGATTTCCTCTGAAGTCATGTCATTTGCAGAGTTTGATCAAAATTTACATAGCATAGTCATTCGGTTTTAATGTATTCTTTCATTTGTTCATTTATTTTTTTAATACTACCTTGTCCCTCGTATCAGTAAGAAAAAGAATCTCAACTGTCATAAAATAATGTTATAGGAGGAATCAAGATATCAGATATGGATGCAAATATAACAGCTACAACTATTATATGTAACTAATTAAGACGTGTATTGTATAACTGTGATAAGCCTTAGCTGTAATAAGCCTCGGGTGTGTGCCATGTTCTTGAAATAAGACAACCTCCTCACTTCCTAAATTGTCATAGCAAACTAATAAAGAATGTCATTTTTGTATTTCATTTATTTGTTAGATATTTCAAAAGATGAAATTTTATTAATTACTTTAAATTCATTTTTTTTATAGTTTTTAATGAGATTTTTTATTACTAGTTTTGACTTGGTCAGCAGATATTTGAAACACGTGAACAATAGACCACGAAAACTTGTCTCCGTTGTGTTACAGGGGTGTGGCTTGGCAATACAAATCAGAAACATGTATTTGTTGTGTATTGTGTTATTATACATTTCATTGTGTATTGCGAAGTCACTTCCCTGTAACAAGGAAAAAAATACGTTTTCATTGTGTATTGTAAAATTTCAAGTAGGTAAGCAAACTCAGTAGGCAACTATGCTAGTATCAACCTATATCAAATATCAATCAATATTAGTAATCTGTTATCCTATAATCAATAAGTTTGATAACAATAAGTCAATGGTAAAGTGCAATAAAATTATTAGTGTTACAAAAATTACTTTGTAACTCTCGAGTAAAAGTAATATCTACTACCGTAGCAAGGAAGTGTGAATGATGACAGGTATGAATTAGCGCAGTGAGAAAGTGGTGCTCTACTTCGAAAATAGGAGTGTATTGGGAGAATGAGGTAGTAATAAGAAACTAAACATAATTAAAAATAAAGGATCAAAATTGTAAATAAAAAAATGAAAGGGAGACACCAAAAAGTAATATAAGATGATTAAAATTTAAAATCACCTCTTGGCGCTGACAAATACTGATTTGAGCGGCGAAGCTCTTGCATGGGACTACACCCTTTTCCAGAGCATTAAGCATACTAGATATCTACATGATTCTTCGAAGACACTTGAAGTTTCCATTTCTTGGACTGATGGTGAACATTTTTTATATTCTCATGATATTCCCTTGTATTTGTTATATTTGCTGAGAATTGAAATCTATAATTTGTTTTATCATATAATATACATAAGAAACTGAGATTTCTTTTTAATTCACTTGTTGCATTGAACACACATGGATCAATTAGCCTGAAGTTGTTTCAACTTAATAATTAGTCTATATGCAAATGTATTAAATACTTGAAAGAAGAGTTTCATAACCAATAATGATGCTACCTAACTTAAAGAATGTGGTCTATGCCAAATAAAAAAATTCACTCACAAAAATATTACAAAAGATCATTACATATTTCTACAAAGGTAGAAAATAATTGTTAGAAACAATTTTAATAGTGTAACACGAGTTGAACAACTTTGCTTACTTATTAAAAGACTAATTATAATGGCAAAGACTTTTATAGTGAAGGACTCATCTGGTCCATTCTGAAAATGTGAAGCAAAAAGAGCGTACGAGGGATTTGTATTAGTAGCATTTTCCAAATTAAAAATGAGATCCACATGACTTGCTTATTTTAGAAGCAACTTGTTGCACCTAAGATCTTGTGTTACGAACTTAAGATGATAAAGAACATGGATCAAGAGATATGTTTGTCTTTGCTAGGCCAGGCAATATAATGGAAATCTAGACTAGCTAGCTAGAGCCAATACATTTGTGTTGTCAAATCAACCTCTCTTCAAACATTCCATGATGCTTCCAGATAAGTTGTCAAAGCATCATCATCTTCACTTCACAATCATTTTCACACCGGCTACAAAGCTCGCAATCATTTTAATCAAACCCTTTTCTCGGTATGTTTTGTACATGTAGAGTGAAATTGCAGCAACATTCTCTGATCGAGTTCGTTAAAAGACAGAACCTATACTCTAAGTGCTGATGGTACTATTCTTCGATTAGAATTAAAATTTAACCTCAATAATACATGTAAATATTTCATGAAACTTTTTATTAGAAAAGTGAAACTCTAATTTGAAAATAGCACTAACAATACACAGTAGTGCTTGTAAATTTTATCCTTTGTTAAACCACCGCTAAAATTTTATATATAGTTGACTGTATTGTTCTTTAAACAAGGTTAAGGACAGTGAAACCTTTGTCCCCTTAAATAGATTCACTTAACTCAAATAATATAACTTTTGAATATAAGAGTCTTGGACAAAAAGCTTGCCCCTAGCCTTGACGCTATCCCTAGTATTCACATGACACTATAACATAATCTTTCTCAAGACGAAACAACTTTATTATGAATAACGGTAGTGACTTTGCAACTTGTCTTCTATATAACATACAACATTTGAGTTTCCCTTCTGCATTTTTCAAGCTTGCATGGGTGGTACCAAACGTTATTTTTTAAGTAATAGTGTCAATCGTCAAAGAAAGAACAATATATATATATGCAACACAAGATAAAAGGGTTTTGGTATAAACCAAAAGGCTATAGTCTTTTCCATGTAAAGGACAACATTCCAATTATTCTAACATCAGCAGTTAATTAACTCCTCGCATGCTACATATTGTTGAAAAAGCATCACTGAGGGTGTCTATAAAACTCTCCTTTCCCCACAAAAACCCATTGGGCTTCTCCAAATGGGTAAAAAAAAGAAGAGGCCAAAGGAGACTAAAATGACAGATCCACAGTGAAGCCATATAGCCCAACTGATGCATGGCAAGGAGCTTCCTTCAAACAAAGATGTCACCATTTTAGAAGATAGTAATTAAACTTCATGACATATATATTACACATAGCTAAAGAAGACCTAAAGAGGGTGCATGAAGTAAGAGTAGGTGTGAGTGAGCTCAATCATCTCCTTGAATATACCAACAAAGTAGCATGGTGGCACATCGACGTAGTATGTAGAGACGAGCACGTTGCTCCTTCACCAAAGAAGCACACTTGCTGCTAATACCATATCCCTTTCTCTTTGCAGCAATCTTAGTTCCTTGCTTGCACTTGTAGTTTTCAAACTCAGCCATGGATACTAGTAGTAGTAGTAGTAGCTTGAGCCTTGTGTTTTCTCAAAGGGAAAACCCTAAAATAAAATTTTATATATAGTTGACTGTATTGTTCTTTAAACAAGGTTAAGGACAGTGAAACCTTTGTCCCCTTAAATAGATTCACTTAACTCAAATAATATAACTTTTGAATATAAGAGTCTTGGACAAAAAGCTTGCCCCTAGCCTTGACGCTATCCCTAGTATTCACATGACACTATAACATAATCTTTCTCAAGACGAAACAACTTTATTATGAATAACGGTAGTGACTTTGCAACTTGTCTTCTATATAACATACAACATTTGAGTTTCCCTTCTGCATTTTTCAAGCTTGCATGGGTGGTACCAAACGTTATTTTTTAAGTAATAGTGTCAATCGTCAAAGAAAGAACAATATATATATATGCAACACAAGATAAAAGGGTTTTGGTATAAACCAAAAGGCTATAGTCTTTTCCATGTAAAGGACAACATTCCAATTATTCTAACATCAGCAGTTAATTAACTCCTCGCATGCTACATATTGTTGAAAAAGCATCACTGAGGGTGTCTATAAAACTCTCCTTTCCCCACAAAAACCCATTGGGCTTCTCCAAATGGGTAAAAAAAAGAAGAGGCCAAAGGAGACTAAAATGACAGATCCACAGTGAAGCCATATAGCCCAACTGATGCATGGCAAGGAGCTTCCTTCAAACAAAGATGTCACCATTTTAGAAGATAGTAATTAAACTTCATGACATATATATTACACATAGCTAAAGAAGACCTAAAGAGGGTGCATGAAGTAAGAGTAGGTGTGAGTGAGCTCAATCATCTCCTTGAATATACCAACAAAGTAGCATGGTGGCACATCGACGTAGTATGTAGAGACGAGCACGTTGCTCCTTCACCAAAGAAGCACACTTGCTGCTAATACCATATCCCTTTCTCTTTGCAGCAATCTTAGTTCCTTGCTTGCACTTGTAGTTTTCAAACTCAGCCATGGATACTAGTAGTAGTAGTAGTAGCTTGAGCCTTGTGTTTTCTCAAAGGGAAAACCCTAAAAAAAAAGGCTCACTACACAGCCTGAGGAACTATACGTGGAGGCTGCAATATATATATAAGCAAATGGCTCACGCAAAGGTTGACTGGGTGGAGTGAAATGGAAGTGATTAGGTGAACGTGGGCATGCTCGAAAACTGAGGGATTTGCAGGCTTTTGGGGTTTAAATTTCAATGAAGTTAAGGGGGAATGAACGTGGGTGTTGGCAACAGCAATAAAATAATGTACTTGTTGTGTTACCTATGTAAGTCAAGGGAGGGTTAATTAGAAAAGTGGCAAAGGTGAGCATGAAAAGAGGGGACATTGGTAGTATAATAATGCAGACAAAGCATTGAGTGGAGTGTTCAGCCACGGGAACATGCACCCGGCAACGTTACCTCAACTCTGAGGTGAGTTGGAGGTTTTGTTGGATTCTATCTTGCTTCACGTCACTAGTGTTTAAAATTTTAATATTCTTTATTCTTAATGTGAAATAATTTACTAAAGTCCTAGGATCTAACATGTTTGATTATTAAGGGGATGATAAATAATTAGATTCTATAAATTTCTAAATTAAGTGTTCTGGTGAGGTGAATTATACAGAACATATGACTTCATGGTTGTTTTCAACCAAATCTCTTGAATTCTCAATGAGACCTTAGTCTTTTTTCAGATAGGAAGAAATCATGTTTTATATGTTATTCGATGTAGAAGGTTCTTATTATTATCTCTCAATGGATAACAATGACATCTGGTCATTAATTTAAGTTCATATCATCTTTGATAGTTTAATAAGTTCATTTAGTTATCATATAAAATAAAGCTCACTAATAATAAATAGTTAATATATATTTTTAATAATGTTTGTTAATTATTAGAATATAAAATTCCAACGACCAAGTCCAATCAACATCTTTTTTACTTCAAATTATTAAGGCAAATGGCCAGCTGTTTGATGAGAGATTTTTATCTATTGATGACAGTTTGTTAATAGGATGAATCTTTGATTATGTTGATATGTTTGGATTTAATCCTTTCGTGCTGATGAAGAGAGAAAACATAAGTTAGTTTATCATATAATAAGAA